TTTCACACACAAAAAAAGAAATACATATTTTATTTAAATGCATCATTTTCTACATTTTTTCCAATACGGTGTATTTCTGGGAGTACGCTACATTTGATCAGATTATAGAACCACATTTAATATATTTAGCAACTAGTTCCCTTTTTGTCTTTCATTTTTTTTTGAAGTAAATTGGCTTCTTTAATTCATGTTGGATATTACACAAGTAAATTTAGTTTATGATTTCTCATTAGCTTAATTAATGATGACCTATTCAAAGGTTAGTTTAGCTCATTGTTGTATATGTCCTAAGGCAGTGTGTTTTAATCTTTTTCTATGACCCAGATGGAATAAAGATCATTCTAAAGTCTATTACTTCTTATATTGACAAATTTGTGTATTGCAGTGTGATTCACAATTTGAAAAAGTTAATTTGTCCCCTTTTGAAGATCATCAAATAACTAAGCTAAACTAAGCTAAATAAACTAAGCTAAGGACACTTTTATTTTTAAGGCCAATATATTCCACATGTTTTAATAAAATAAAGTGTGGTATATTGTAAGCTAAATAATACTTGTACATTACACGCAGTAGGAACTATGAGGAATGATTCTTTTTTTTTTGCTATTATTATACTCAATCAGAAAGTAAAAAATATGTAAGTGTCTTGAATGGGAAAACATGAAAGATTCTACTGCACTATCTTTTAATTAAAAGATAGTCATAAAAAAAGATTGTCAGCCACAAAATGTAGAGAATCAGGGCTTTAATGACTCTATTTTTCTCCAGTTCAACCTTGTTTAAATTAACCCATTCCTGGAGTTTATTGAAAACTTTGATATCAGAAAGAATTTGAGTTGTGGTACATTCATTTTTTATGAATTTTATAGAAAATGTCTGTGTCCATATTCTTCTATATAGTTATTGCCTTTTTGAATGAGTTCTTAAGAAATGCTAGATATTTAAGAAATAGTTTTGTGGCTGGAATATTCCTTTCTAGGTGCCAAGTGTTACTTACTCCTTCCATTGAGCTGTGTAGGAAGGAAAAGAAATTCTGACAAGTCCAAATCAGCCTGGTTTTATTTTCAGGTGAACAGGCTGCAAAGGTCATGAAGTGGCTTGTCATCATAGTAGGATCAGACTCTCGCAGGTAAAGAACTGTCTGTTAGCTGATTGATTGGTGTAGAGGAATTAGCAATCTGTGAAATGCTCTCTAGAAGTAATTCTCTTCTAAGGGTCAAGAACTATGGTCACTCTTTTCTCTGGCATGATTTGAGACTACTCATTTGTAGTCTTCCAACAAGTGAAAACAGAAGATGTTTCCTCATTCATTTTCCTCCCTTGCCTAATATCAAATCAGTATTACCACCTTCTGTTCTGCCGTCTACCTTAGTGAGACTTAAAATTCATTAGCTTCGTCTTTATTTATGAATTTGCTATCACATTTCTCTTTTAAATATTATAACTCAGAACATGTCCATGAAGGACAGTGTAACACAAAAGATTTGGTGGCTATCTGGTGAGTCTTAAGTAATCTGTGAGGAGAATATATGATGGAACACACACACACACATACACACACACACACACACACACACACACACACACACACACACACACACACACACGTAATCACGTAATGTGTTTCCTGTTGTAAGGCTGACAAAAATTTACTATGTCCTTTTAGTCCCTTTCCACTTTCTTCTCTATGTGACTGCTAGAGTTGTTCTCATTAAAAAAAAAAAACTATTGTAAAGATACTGTACAGAGGGGTTACAGTTACATGAGTAAGGTAATGAGTGCATTTCCTATCGAGCAATGTGATGCTCTCCTTTGTTTTTTTCCGCTTCCCTCCCCACCTCCCCATCTCCTCCCTTCTCCCCACCCAAATTGTAAAGTTCATTTTGAACAGTATCTTGTATATCTCATTGTTACAATGGGTCAACCCATTATTTTTTTATGTGGTTTGAACTGTGTCATACTCCTAGGTACAAATCTTCTAATGGTTTCAGTATAATGGTAGGGCAAAATATGAACTCTTTCATAGCCTGTAAAATGTTTTCTATTTACTTGGGTTTCAAGCTTGTTCTTTCCATATTTTTCATGCTTTCTAATCAAAAGTTACTTGACATTCCCCAACACTCCATATATATATTATATATATATATATATATATGACTTTTCTTCTGCTTTATTTGTGATTGTAGCTACATTTCCTTCCTTCCTTCCTTCCTTCCTTCCTTCCTTCCTTCCTTCCTTCCTTCCTTCCTTCCTTCCTTCCTTCCTTCCTTTTCTTTCTTTCCTTCTTTCTTTCCTGGCTGCATCTTTGCATATTTTCATTAGATGTAACTCAGTAAGATCTTCACTACCCAACCTAGTTTAGGTATTCAAATCTTCTGTATTCTTTATATTGTTATCCCTTGTAACATAGTATTTGTTTCATTAATTTGCTTGTTTCATTAATTTGCCTCAGATGATTATTTTATATTTCTAATAATTTTTGCTGATAGTATTAGCCCTTAGCATTAAATTACAAAATTTATTATAAAAATAATTGTAATAAGCTATAAGCTCTGTATAGGTGTCTCATGCCTGTAATCCTAGCTACTCTGGAGGCTGAGATCTGAGGATCATGGATCAAAGCCAACCAGGACATTATCTACCATAAAAGCCATGAATAGAGCTGTGGCTGAAGTGATAGAGCACCATCCTTGAGCAAAAGAGCTTTGGGACAGCACCCAGGCCCTGAGCTGGAGTCCAGTACTGGTGCATGCATGTACACACACACACACACACTCACACACACACAGAATTCTAATTAATATTTTACTAAAGATTAATAAATATGCTTATATTTATAAATATACAAAGGAGGGGGTAACAGTGCTAGATAGGAAATATGCTCATTACCTTACTCATGTAACTGTAATCCCTCTATACAATATCTTTTTTTTTGTAGGGGAAGGTCTGGTCGTGGGGCCTGAACTCTGGGTCTGGGCACTGTTCCTCAGTTCTTCAGTTCAAGGCTAGTGCTCTACCACTTGAGCCACAGCACCACTTCTGGCTTTTTTCTTTTTGCTTATGTGGTGCTGAGGAATTGAACCCAGGGCCTCATGCATGCAAGGCAAGTGCTCTACCACTGAGCCACCTTCCCAGCCCCTCTGTATAGTATATTTACAATAAAAATAGATTAAAAACAATGAGAGAAACTCTAGCAGTCACAGAATAGAAAGTGAAAATATATTTATAAATATAAATATGGTAAATAGATACATGACACCTTTTGGATTAGAATTTAAGTATAAATCATATAAATCAAAATTTCATCTTTTAAAATGTTTGCTCTCATCCAGTAATAATTTTCAAGACTCTTTCGACAACATTCCTATATTAGCAGTGATATTCAACAACAACCCACTTACTGTGTACTGCTATTCCTTGTTGATATTGTTAATCAGAATCTTGGCATCTAAAATTAACAGTGGCTATCAAGGGCAGCAATTAAGGACATTTGTCTTCCAAATGAGTCAATGTGGACTCCACTGGAAGCTTAAATTTATGTACAGAAGGCACTTGTAGTAGTGTAAAGGGTAATAGGGGCCCTGAAGGCTTGTGTTGCAAAGCAGTAAGTCATTTCAGGGTTGTAATAACAAATTATATTTTTGAGGAAAACTATTCTCTTGCAATGGGAAATGCATTTCCTAGCAACCTCACTTTGTTGATTAAATTAAAAACCACATCAGTTTTGATATGAGCATGCATATAAAAGGTGTTTGGTCAATACTTAAAAGATAGTATTCGTTTTCAATTTGCTAGACTTTGAGCTATTTTAAGGAATTATGTACTCCTAAGATGAATTCGAGGATGCCCACAATATATTTTTGCTTTTGGAAGAGTTTTTAGGGTTATGATGTCACCTGGTCCATTTTGATGTATGTTTGGCTACTGACATAGCTCTTCTCTATCTGTCTATCATTACTGAGGGATATGACTTTCATGAATATTTATATTGCCAAACTTTTGATGAGGGGAGTGAGATGAATTTTTACCACCTATTATCCTATTGTTTCTGGTTCTAGAAATCACTCTGTTTCTTCTCATAGATCCCCATGGAAACTAAACAAATAAGCTACTTGAAAGTTGACAGGTTATTGGTTTTTCTCATTAAAGCTGCTGCTGGATTTTCATTAGTTGTAATCCATTTTCTTTTCAGAATAGACATATACACCAGTTCTAACTTTCATGATTTGAATAAACTAAGTACGTGTCTGGTGTGTGCCTGTAGAGATGGGGTAAGAAGAAAAAGTAATCATTCCACTTTAGCAATGCAATTGCAATACAATTACCCCAGAAAATAAGAAATAGGTGATTAGATGAAGTAGAACTTGGGAGAGTGATTGTAGGCTAATCAGATTGATTTTGTGGTTTAGTTATACCTCCAAATCATAGTTGTATATGAAAGTAATCTAAACAAAGTGTGGAAGAGTATATCTCAATCTCCAATGATAAAGTTTTATATGTTGTTTCATTTGCTATTACCAGCAGCTTTCATAGAATTATTTTAAAGCTAAGGGTTTGATAACACTTCAATAGTAGCTTTACTTTTTTTAAACTTGTACTACAAAGAACAACAATTTACACTCTTTACTTCTCTTCACTGAAATGTTAAAATTATTTTTAAACTTTATTGAAAAGGTGATGAGCAGGGGATTGCAGTTATGAAAATTATCTGAAGGTAATGTATATCTCAGGAAACTTGACTGTACATGTGTCATAGATATTTTTAAAATAAAAAATCAGTGCCTCAGCTTTCCTTCTGAAGCTTGTTTGTTGCTTATTCAAATAGAAAATGCGAATAGGTATTTCTTTTGATGTGAAAACTTGAAAAGGATAACAGTCACACTATTGTTGAATATGAGTAACGCATTACATATTTTACTATAACCTTGGCTTTCCCCAATGTTTCCCTAACTTTACAAGATTTGTTTAGTGTATAACAACAGCCCGCTTTATCTTTCTAGGTGGCTGCACTTTTGATGATGGTCCAGGAGCCTGTGATTACCACCAGGATCTGTATGATGACTTTGAATGGGTACACATTAGTGCTCAAGAGCCCCTTTACCTGCCACCTGAAATGCCTCAAGGTGAGCTGCATTCAGTTTACTCATCATTGGGAGAATACTTTGGGGTCTATGTAGCATTTTCTCATCTTAATTATAAAACAGTAATTTATTTGTTATAAAAATTAGTTGGCCACATCTCAGACTCTTAAATTGTTTTTTGTTTTTCTTTCCATTTGATCCAATCACACTGAGAGGATGGATTTCTCTTCCATGATCAGAAGGCAGACTGTCTCCTTCTCTAGCTGATCATGAGCATGCCATTGGCTGGGAGATAAAATTGTCCAGTGGAGATGGTATTTTCTGAATGAATTATATAAAAATAGGGATAAGACATACTCGTTGTTTATCTAGACCTTGTTATATTCCTTGATTTTTTTTAATGTTTTGAGATAATACAATTTCTTATTTATTCGTTTATTTATTTGGTCACTTGTGGGGCCTGAACTCTGATCCTGGGCGCTGTCTCTCAGCTCTTCAGCTCAAGGCTAGAGCTCTACCACTTGAGCCACAGCGCCACTTTCGGCCTTTTCTGCTTATGTGGTGCTGAGGAATCAAACCCAGGGCCTCATGCATACAAGGCAAGCACTCTACCACTAAGCAATCTTCCCAGCCTGATTTCTTATTGTTTATGACACATTGTTTGATGTTTCCTTTTTACTTGTGAAAAACACATTAAGATAGTATATGAACATGTACATTTCATTATACACGTAATCCTGAGCTAACATTTGTGCTTTCACATCTATATATTAAATTGGAACTAATTCTAAGTCATGTGTTTAAAAATAACATGTTTAATAATAGAACTAAAAATGTAAATATATGTAAAAATGGGACAATTTTCCTTCTAATGATTAAACATGACTAAAGTATATAAGTATAAATTATATATAATTATACATGTAGAATCATTATTGTATGAAATCAATTGATGTTGATTTCCTATTACTAATAATTTAAGTAGCTTTATTCTTTTTATTACGAAATATAGATTTTTTCCACAAATTCAGATAGTTCTTCTAAACTTAATGTGAATTTAGTGGAAGTCTCAATTTGAGTGATTGACATTATCAGTAGCATCTCTGCATTTGCTACTTACTATGTTTTATAGTATCAAAAGAAAACAACCAGAACACTGATCAAAAACATACCACAAGTTCACAAAATAAAAGAAAACAAAACCTATGGGTTACCATTCATAATGGTTGGTCATAAATGAATATGGTAAATATATCCTGTGAAAATTTGTTTTGTCTATCATGTGATATGCACATAAATTAAAGTTGTTTTTTATTCTGAATTGTTGCTATCAATGAGTGAGTATGCTAATAGTTATTTCTCAGGCTGGACAGATTTTATTTATTTATTTATTTATTTAATTTTTGTTGCAACAGGTCCACCTGTATCCTTATTTAAACAACTTGTTTTTCCCCTTTCCCTCCACAAATTATACCGACATCAAATACAGTGAAACCAGGGGTTATACTGTGGGGGAGGGACATACAAAGCAACAAAGAAATAATCTTATAATTGCGTTAGAAACAAATGCATGAAAGAAAAATAAACATTTAAACTATATATCTTAGGGTTCATTTTCCTAACATCACCTTATCTGACCTTTTCTGCTTGACTCATACATATACTAGATATTGCAAATAAGGGAAACCATGGGACCTATGTTTCTTTGGGCCTGGCTTACTTCACTTAATATAATTTTTTCCAAGTCTTTCCATTTCCTAACAAACGGGGCAATGCCATTCTTTCTGATGGAGGCATGGAATCAGATTTTATATATGTATATATATATATATATATATATATTTTTTTTTTTTTTTTTTTTTTTGCAGCAAATACATTGGCACTTGGTAGTGGACAGCCTTTCCTTCTTATGTTTGACTCCCTACATTGTCAGCAGACTCATTTATTTTTGTGTAGAGGCTTTGTATTTTTTTCAGAGGCGCATAACCTTTTTTTCCTGGTGCATTTTAATTAAGGAAACTACTGTAATTTTTCACTTGAATTTTCTCTGTGGTATATTTAGACTGAATTTTTCATGTAAAACTAAAGGGGTGGGTTGAAATGCACACATTTTGACTGTTTATCAGCAGAGAATAATCAGAAAGACTTTGATTTATGGAAATGTTACCATTACTAATTGCCATTGATGGTGGGTAATGAGTAGCTGAAGAGATAGTGCAGGGTGCAGATGACCTTGTTGGCTCACCTTTATGCACAGCTTAATCGGTGGTTACAGTAAAAGATGATATGTGCATAAAATGAAGGTGTTTGAAATTCACCCACATCCTCCAATTAATAGGACATTAAGTAATTAATCATGCAAAGAAGGGTAAAAGGTCATGGGCACTTTATTTATTTTTGTCCAATGATGTAACTGGTTAGTCTGGAGAAAGGTGAGGGAAAGCACTCATCTAAGTATTTTATATTCTCTTTTAACAAGAAATACTCCATTTTCTTAAAAGTACAAATTGAGCATGATCTGCTAAGATATTAGTAAAAGGACATAAAGAATGATTTTTTTAAATAGTCTTAATGATCACTTCATTTTCAAGGAAACAGGCAGGCATGCTTACTTTCTTTTGGTTACTCAACACACATACACATACATACACTAGTACAAAACACAAAGAAAACATTTATCACTTCAGTGGTAAGAAGGCTGCCTCACTGACATCAATGTGTTATTGAAGTCTGTAATACTTGGACATTGTTAATTGCCTTTAGTGTCCATTGTTTATTGTCTTTTTTTTGGTGTTTTTGGCCTAGAGGGGGGAATGATTAGAAAGGGAAAATTAAAAGCATAGAATAAAAGAAGAATGAAGATGGGCAGAAGGAAGCACAGAGAAAAAAGAAAATAATTTCTCCACCTGAGAAAAAAAATTATTTCAATAATTGATCCGAATGTTCTCTATAGATGCACTTTTTTGGGGCTGGGACCAATACTGGGATTTGAAGTCAGGTCCTCACTCTCTGCTGCATGAAGTACACCACCAGCTCTTATTTGCTTTAGTTATTTTTAGATGGGCTTCTGTTCTCTGACTATAACTTTTCTTTCTACATCCTCCATGTTGCTGGGGTTAAAGGCATATTTGTTGAGATGGAGTTCTCACTAACTTTTCCCTGTCCTGGCCTTGAATTGTAATCTCCTGATCTGTACTGTCATAGTAGTTGGGAATACTGGCATGTACCACTACATCCAGCAGCCCCATACAGTGCTTTTGTCAGATGACAATGATGCTGGCTAAATGCTGGCTAAATATGTTTGAAAATAACATGTAAAAGAATGAAACACTGATCAAAAGAGTTTTAATGGCAGGAAGTTACAGAACATGAGCACATACTGTACTAAGTCCTTAAAGAAATGCACATTAAAATAAGAATGAGAAACTATGACACACATGACAAGAAGACAGTCATGAAGCTGGGTTTGGTGAGAGGAATGTGGAGCAAATGAAACCCTCACATAGTACTGTGGAAGATAAGTCTGTGTCTTCAGTTACTTTGTATAAATTAACAACAAGCTAATCCATTCAAGGTATAAGACTAAGAGATCCATGCAAAAAAGTTACCCAGCAAAAGTACAGAAAGGTTCACAGTATTACCATTCATATTCCTGCCAGACCAAAAATAACTATAATTTTTTAAATAATGTAATGGTCAAATAAATGAGGATACAGTCATATAATGGAATATCACTACTTGATATAAACGAATAAAATACTACCACACATTATGCCACAGGTGAAATTTGTAAACATGTTGAGGGTATCAACCCCAACCTAAAAGAATACACATTATATTCCAGTAACATAAGCTTAAAAACAGGCAAAACCAATGGGCAAGTTGGAAATCCAGTTAATATTACTTATACATTATTATCAATGCTGGTTATTTTTTTTCTTGGCCTCAATGTTGCTTTTGTAGCTATGCTCAAACTGTAAAAACACATTATGCTCTCCATTGGTGAATTATGTACTTTCTTGTATTGACCTAAGTTAAAAAACAGTGACAAAGTGTGAATAAAACCAATGCTCATAAAAATAATATTGGGAAAACTAAAATAATAATTAAGTGTTATATATTAGAACAAGACCTAATCTGATATCCCAAATGATTACATATTCTTGGTCACTTTTCACCCTGGATTTTTCTCTTTGTATAGACATAAAAATACTATGTTCTCTGACATCTTAGGTTCTTAGTATGACCTCCCCTCCCCCCGACCTACATCTGCTTATATATTTCCTTGTCTGCCTATTCTTTTATCAAATTGTTACCATTATTTTATTTTGTTTTTATTTCAGCATAAGTTCCATCAGAATTGGGAAGATTTTTTTTCCCAAACTGGCTTTGATTTCTTCAGTTTCTTCTGTACTCAAACCCAAATCTATTCCCACCTGTATTTTGTACAGATTGAAATGGCTGGTGTTGTACTGGTATCATTTTTCACATGTTCCCTCTCCTGATAGACTATAATGTCCTCATGAGTATACCCCATACTTTTTCATCTTCCATTTCCAAGACAATATTCAGTTCATTTTCTTAGGGGGAAAAATGCCAACTTCTATAATATAAAGTTTAAAATATTTTGGTTAGAATTTAAATGTTGAAGTTTTTTTTCTCTTGTTAAAAAGTAATTGAAGAAAAAAAAATCCCATTTTCCAAGCAATGTACTAAATTTGGATTTCAATGTAATTAGAAGACCCTCACATAAATATTGGTATTAGGGCTTCACTTTTAAAAATGAGATCACCTATTTATTTGAAAAACACTAAAATTTTTATTAATTTTTTTTACCAAGAAAGACTTTGTCTATGTTTCTTGTCTTTCTCTCTGGAAATCAATGCCTGTAGTCTGCTTCTCAGAAACCTATAATATAAAATACATACTCAGAGAATGAGCTTTGTTGCATTGAACTAGAAATTATTCTTCGATTTTAGAAATCTATGCATATGACCTTGTTTGTCACCTAGTCTACCTATTCTCTTTGCTTATGACCCATG